TTCTTCCTTGTGCTAGCAAACTACGTACGACTAATTGCCAGTGAGGGGTAATCTGGAAGTAATCATGCGAAACATTTGAAACGGTCCCTCCTGCAAGACATTTTGTTCGAAATCTAATCCGTTGCGAGGAGGCTGAGCATGGAAATCATCATGGTGTAGTAATTGCTGCTCACATTTTGGATTGCTTTTGGCCCGTAAATGAGCGCTCTGTGAGCTGCAGCAGCAGCAGTAGGGGTCAGCAGGCAATATATCTGGCCATCGTCCATCCGCTCGGAAAGTGTGCATTCGTCCACCCTCATCGAAAGCGAATAGACTTCCATTCGAACATCATCATACATGAATTCTCGTCACTGCTTTTCCTGCTAGTTTATAATCATTCATACAGACACGACCGCACACTCACAGACACACACACACCTACATATTTCTTTCATATATCTGGCCTTTTGCTTCACAATTCTTCTTACCAATGGTCACTCGCCTCCTCATCACCAGCACTGTGGTCACCGTACTATTTATTCAGATTTCTCAATGCCATCATCAAATTCTTGACCAGATTGTTGTTGTCAGCCATGGGTTTCATGCCTTCGTGGATAGCAGTAATGAAAATGGTGACATTGGCGCTTCAACAGTAACTTCAGTGAGTGGCGATATCCATTCTCTTGTTGTGACCGCTTGCCTCATCCGGACTGTCACCGTAGTCGTTATCGTTATCATCCATTATGATGAGCAGGAATTCCAAGATCGACCTGATAACAGTGTGCAGTTCTGGTATTAGCGATGCTACCAGAACCATTCCCAGGTATCTGTGCCTTAAACCCAATGCTTACAATCGTCACCTGCGCTATTCGCCCGTTAAGGCTGCCGGCGTAATCCTTTTCCTTCCTAACTCTTTCCATCTTCTCTACTTCATCCCAATTTTGCGTTAATCTGCTATCATGATAATTCTTGGAACAGCTGGAAGCTATTGTTAATTCATAATTTGCTTTCTCGTCAGTGCAACTGGCAACTTTTCCAACTGCTTTGACCAGTGCTACATAGTTCGGTGGTCAGCATGCTGGTGCTAGTCCACGATTATGTTTGGTGAAAATTGAATCGAACTCAGCGCATATTCAATTATTAAATGAAATCTTTGCTGGCAGTGCATCAGTGAATAATAATTTCGCAGAAGTAAGCGAGTAAATCATCTGTTCGGATATAACTTCGTTGAAACGTGTCACGGCACATACGGATTCGTCACCATCTATCTATCTGGCTGTGAAAGCCTTGCACTCTTCCAGTACACGGCCACCGTAATCCCATTGTCTGTTGGCTATCAGATTGCCTTTTGGAATGTTGCAAATTGAGGTACCGAATTTAAAATGTCAAGCGATTTCCCAAATTCATCAAACTGCAAAGTAAATCACTAAATAAAAACACTGATAGTCTGGATTCATTCGCTCTGACAGGCCGCATATCGTGTCTTGGATAATTTTGCACCAAGCTCCCTAATTTTGCGTCAAATCCACAAAAAAGCGGAATCCAACTGACCCTTCGGACAGTTAGATTTCCTCTTTTTTTTGGACTTGTTATTCGCGAAGCTTTCGCTTTTTTTCCCAGTGAAGTAACACTTACTGTAGTGCCACTTATACGCCACTGTACGTTTATACCGCAACCGTCTTCGCCGCTGTGAGTTACAAAAACTAGATGCTTGCTATGTTGCCGTCCAATTTCATACGAGTCGGACAGCGAATGAGAAATTAAGACCGCCATCAGGCTGACCACCATGCGATGCAGCACTGGCCAAAGCAACTTGAAAAATTGGTAGCTTCATAGTTGGAGGACCAAACTACGAATTACTTGGAATTCAAGCGCTTCCAGTGACTATCCATTGAACAATCTGTGTAGTTTTGATGGGTTAAAGCCGTTAACGGTTGCCATGATGGTATATTTTTGGATGGCTGAAAGCAATTTGCTACCGCCAGCATATATGTGGGGGATTTCACAGATCCATATTTAGGACATGTTTCACTACTTCCGCTTCACTACACTTCGTGCCGTTGCACCATTTTGGCTATGATCGCTCC